TGCCTCTCGGTTTGCTGCAGGGTTCAAGCTGACAAGAGAATCCAAGAAAATGTAGAAAGGGAACAAAAGTTGGCAGGGAAGAAACTGATGGTGGAGGTTGCGGAAACAAATGGGAGGAGAAAGAACTTTTGAGGGAAGATGTGCTGGCCAGAGCAGAATTTTTAAATTAAAAGGGTTTTTTTTTAGCTTGCTGGAAATCAAACAATCAACTAGCAGCTTTTAGTAATACATCATGCTGGGAAATATCTATACAAAGATAAAACAAGTATCTATACAGTACATCATCTCACTGTTTTCAGGTCTCCTCAGCAGGGGAGCCTAGAGCAATTGCAGCTTCATTTTTCTCCTTCACATGAAATAATAATTTATTTACCTCAAGCTTCAAACCAATTACGGTGCAGAGTATCCAAAACTGTTCAAGCTATTTTGGTATTTGGGAATGGAAACTTTAATAAACTTCTTATCCTTTGTTTAGAAATTAAAATAGACCAGTTACCCTAAGTGGTGAATATTCCTTAGATGCATGAGATATAAAACTCTCTATAAAAAATAACAATAGCAATAGCACTTAGATTTATATACTGCTTCACAGTGCTTTACAATCCTCTCTAAGCAATTTATAGGGTCAGCATATTGCCCTCAATAATCTGGGTCTTCATTTTACCAACCTCGGAAGGATGGAAGGCTGAGTCAACCCTGAGTTGGTCAGAATCAACTCCTGGCAGTGGGCAAAGTTAGCCTGCCATACTGCATTCTAATCACTATGCCACAGTGCAAGAATACGGTGCCTCTTTGTGACACACGCTGAGAAGTCCTTTGGTGGCCATTTCAGACTATTTCATGGTAGTTTCTTCCTTGAACAAAAGGAGAAAGAATGCACATGGGTGTGTACCCCGTGGACTAGCTCCTTATCATTCTCATCTCTGCCCTTCCAAAACACATCATGCACCATATTTTATTACCGGGCTCTCAGCTTATTCATAACATGTTCAGAAGGGGAGAGGTCTATGTATATCTATCATAATCCAACAAGAATTCCTTTCAGCAAAGTAGGATCTTGATCTAATCATATGAGGGCATATTTATCCATCAAGTTGGGATAACACTGGGGAACCAGATGTCTCTTTTAAATTTATTTGCACATGATATGGTGTGATGCTCTGAAATGCTTCTCACTCAGCTAACAATATTAAGAAAGCATTAGAAGAATTTACAGAAATGTTATGACTACTGTTTAATTTTCACAAATTTTATCATTTTTCTCCACACACATAAAACTTCAAAAGGAAATTTTTGCAGATATGGGGATCCCAGGAGTATATAAATCTTAAAATATGTAGGCATTAGGATTACTAGAATATTAACAAAAAATAATATATGATTATATTTAAAATGGAATTTTAGGATAATGAAGGAAGGGAGGGGAAGATGGAAGGGGAATAGAGAGGGAGATGGCAGGGGAAGAGAAGGGAGGGAGAATAAAGGAAAGGAATGAAAGAGAAAACAAGAAAGGGGAGAAGAAAAGATAAGATCAAGAAAGGTTTTGGAAGAGACACAAGACCAATTTACAACTCAGAATCTGCTTGATGCCAACTGCAAAGAGTTTGACATTGCACAAAAGACACAGCAGCTGTTCAGTTTAGTATGATGGAGCTCTGCTATCATAGCCAACGAATGCCTGCATCCCACACTTACACCTCCTACATGTTCATACTTATAACTACATAGGCGGAATAGTCCTTCATGCAGTTTTTGCTACCCTATAAAGCAAATCCTGCTGTTCTTGCTTTGTGTCAAGAAC